AAATTATAGGTAGACGCAAGTTTATTGCGTCTATAATTGTCGTATTTGATCATAAATCGAAAATTATGTAGCCAATTTTTACATTGTTTTTAATTTTCGTCGGTCTAGGGTTTTTACCACTGGGTGATTTTGAAGCTCTTTGTGTCATTTAGGTTTAGTTGAAACCCTACGGCTGTACCCTATTCTACGAGTTGGTAATATAAACTGTGAAGTGGACGGATACTCAAGTGCTCTTAAAATCGACAGCATACCAGGGGCTTCTCTAGCTCCGTGACACGAGCCTCTCCTCCAGACAGTTGGTTAGTTTCTCGCTGCATCCAGGGAGCTCAGCCGTATCTACTCTGGTGACGAAGCCATTCATTTTGACTTGAATTCTCCATGATCAGTCAAATTTTGTTGTAGACGTTTATGTTGACAGATTTTAACTAAAAAAATAGCAGGGTACTGAAGCCCATTCGTGTAGTTACTGTAGTACAACGAGGCTGTAATTTCATTTCGGATTTATTGGGTCCAGAAATTTCTTTGTTCGACGTTTTCGTGGTATCGTTCATTCTCCAACGTTGGTCATCCATCAAACGCGTATTAATAGCATTTCACTCGCCCATAATGTATGTATTTTTATTTCAGGTACTGTTATTTTGCACCACTCAAGACCCTTCACTTCATTTGAATCAAATCGAGCGTCTTCAAGCTCACTCATTCCATCTTTTTTTAAATAGATAGCAATTAGATATGAAGAGATACTCCCCATCTGTGCGGTATGTCATTATCATAATAATCATTTTCCATTCAAAGTGACTAATTTATTCGACGATCGTTTTTTATTGTGATTGAATTATGTTCTACTGAGAGGGAGGGTGAACTCCCAGCGTATTGGTCCCTACCGCTCTTCTTGGAATTGAATGAATTTCATTATTTTTAGTTATTTTCTGACGGTATAGTCACCGTGTTATGCAGCATGAAACTTTGCATGTCCTATCATACAATAGAACAAGTCCTTTGCGAGTTCTATTGTATGTCATATTTTCGAATGGTTCTATAATATGGTCATTTCTTAGGAAGTAATATCTAACCATAAAACTGAATTGGAATGAGTTAGTCTCTCATCTAAAAAAGTTTTTCTACTACATAGAAAATATTTGTAGAGATAAAACAAATTCGTAGTTCCTATTTATTATCTTTTTATAATAGTTTAAACTTGTGGTGATGAAAGCACCATGCCCACCATCCAGGTTGTCACTGTAGTGATTTAGTCACAATGACAGTTACCTTAAAGAACAGTTTGCTACTGACCTAGAAACTTGCTGGAATAGATGCTGACCAGTTGGACTCGGAAATTAGCCAGTTCAACTTTTGAGCATCCTTCTTACATTGTTTACTTTTCTTTAATTCCGACATGTATTCTTCTGCGGAATTTTTTAATCAACTTTGTTGCTTGCTCTAACTCTCAGAGATTAACATATTTGGCATTTGTGTGTTGTAGGAAGTCGACATTATTTTAAGTGCCTAAAAATTCTATTTTATCCTTCAGAAAGTTAATATCAGCATGTGGTAAAATAATTACTTATTGTTCTTTCAGTCAATGTGAATAAATTGGAGTGTGTGACTAACAACTTTTTTGATTGTATAACAAATTAATAAAATACGATGGTTGACTATGCTAAGTTTAGACACGTCGAGCTCGATGGCATTGGTCGCGGCAAGCGAAGGTAAGAATCTATAATTATTTTATTTTTATTTCATGTAGTTAAAACCTATTTAAACTTGTACCAAGATCATTATTTTTTTTTTAATTGTGTGCCTACGACCATAAACTAACTTCAAGGGAAAATAAATACATTTTATTGTTTTGCTGTGAACCGCGGCGCGATATTTGTTATTCACAGAATTATTATTATGAAATTATTAGGGCACGATATTTGTTCCTGCAAGCGAGTTCGTTTCTATCTGTTCCCTGCCCAGTGCTATTTACTGCATGAATTGAGAAAGTTTTTGTTCACATTTTAAATTTCGCTGGCTTTAGATCAACAAATAGCAAATTAGATAAACGGCTTACCGTGGCACATAAAATCTGATACGCGATAATTTCGTTGATTGATTTGATTGATTGAATGTGATTCCCGATCTCAGGCTTTTCTGGTCTCATTGTCATGAGGATTTTTTTACTGTGTAACCACAAATTTGCATTGAAATTGCAATTTGATTTATGCTCTCTTAACATTATTCTTCATCACGCCAACATTTTTCATATGTCTAGATGCTTCCTTAAATTATTAGTTCTGATCAATTCTCATCAATCGTGCGTTCATTTGATTCGTATGCAACTACTTGGAGAGAGATCAAATTATGTATAGACTGAATGCTCGCCAAATTCTTTTTAACATCTACATTACTACGTATCCTTCATTCAAATTAATAATCGATAAATTTGCTGAGTTAAGTGCATTCTTCGCTCGTCCTGATTTGGAAAACTACGTACTTCATTTGTTGAGTTAGTGGACCGATGTACGTTTCTGACTTTGAAATGGTGGCACAGTGAGCACTCAGAAACGCTTAAATTCTCGAGATTAATACATGAAATTGAATCGCTAGGTCAATTGGCATTACTGAATGTCCTCAAACTTGTTGATTCTGTAGCGCATGCGCTAGTCACTTGAGTTCGTTAGGCGCGCAAGGCAAATATGCGCGATGGTTATCTTGCCCTCGCGCGTGAGAGGGATTGCCTGTGTTGGTGTGTGTGCAAGGCCGACTTCTTACATCGGCCTTTTTATTCTAACACATCAAGATTTAAATTTTGGTACCGGTATTGTATTCATTTGAATACCGATGGACAATAAACTCGACCTATTAGATTTATTTTTTGCGATTTCGGTCTAGTCGCTAATCGATATCATTTGTTGATGCTGAATATTATTCGCCGTTTGCTCGGGAGTTATCTTATATTTTAAAGATTAACAAGCCGAATAAATGCCAAATCTGCATTACGGTTTAACTATCGCTTGTGTCACTACTCAGCTACCAAAATAATCGCGGTATTCGCACACTAGGTTACAACATTGTCCATAATTTTAAGGCGATTGTTCTACCAGCTTGCGTCATGTTTTCAACTCATTTTCTTATTTTGCGTTCCGAAATATAGATTGTTATTTTTGTTATAACAGACGAGGCAGCCTAACGTAAAATATTTGCTGCTGTCCTCCATGCACACTGAAGTTATAGCACAAGGGCGGGGTCCTCATCGCACGCCTCTTGATGCTTCGCCCACGGTTGCAGCTCCTTATAGTGTCTTCTCAAGCAGGCCTTTTATTGCGCGAATTTTCCTTCACTTTATTTCTAACTAGTCGGTGATATATCCCACACGTTGGGTATTATAAATTATATTTAATAAAAAAATTCGTTTTGATTGTACTTCAATTTTGACAATCAACTTGATAAGGAAGTCGAAGTTGAAATAACAAAATTCACTCGTGAATTTACCATATAGTCAGTCCTTCGACGATTCAAAGTTTTTTCCGAGCTTGTTTAAAATTCCCGATGTTTGAACATTGTATATTACATTACTAATCGCACGACTGAAATCCTTAGCTATGAGGAATGTCGAGCATTTAAAAAAAAACTGCTAGCTCTAACTTTAGATACCTTCAATTTTTGCGTGAGCATTTTGCTTTCCGAACGAAGTCGTTGACATGCTTTTGATATTCATGTACTAACATTAAAAATAAGGGAGCCAATTTCTTTAATTAAGGGAGCCAAGTTCTCTGTTTATTAATCGTACCAGATCCCGGATGCCCAAATACAGTAATGCACCAGACATTCTTCTGTTGCGTTATCTTGCTATGTCAGCTGTCATTCTCTTATCTAGCGTCCGGCAATCGAAGTGTTACTGATAACCGTGCACACTACACGTGTCCTGTAGCCTACGCAGCTTAATTGTCGAGGTCAAGTTTATTTGCTCAATTTTGAGAAAAACATTGTTATCCTTGCATTGGATTCTTTGCTGTCCTCCTGCAACCCTTCGTGTTTGGACATATATATAATTGCTAACAATTTAGGGCGAGTGGCACCATTGAAATTGTCGAATAATGCTAATCATTTTTGAGTTTGAACTTTTTTTTGCTCTCGTCTATTTCCCATTGAACCTAATTTGTAGTAAGCACCCGTTTTCATTTGCTTCAACTTTGATCATACTTATGTTACCATCAAGTCGTACCATACAATACTTACTTAAGCGACATTTCCTGCCGAACGCGTATTCTGTGAGTTATGAGTATGGCCGTATTTCCTAGCTATTTCGTGAGTCACGTAGTTCTCTGTCACTGTGACGTCACATGATCGTGCAAGTACAGCTAATGTGATCTTATTCATGTGTGGGTATTTAAATTTCGGTCGTTGTTGTTGTTGTTGTTGTTAAACGTTAAAGTTGTGTTAAAGTGTTAAAGTTGTTGGGTCAAAGAAGAGGTACTGAAGTCTTGATATTAAATTTTATAGCTCATTCTGAAAGTTTGCTTTTCAAGTCACTATTCACATTGAGTTTACCCTTGGAGCTCTTATGATAGGTATAGGTAAAAACTCGAGTGCTTTTTTTTACTGAAGTGACCGAAATACGAGAGAAATCCTTGTAACTGTTTCCATGTAGTTCTTGGTTGGCATGTGGCATCGGCATCCTCGCCTAATACGCATTCAAACCTTCGCCAACGTTCTGAATGACTCATTGTATAGGTGACTCACTACATAGCCAAGTAAGCGCTTGCCGTCTTTTTCTTAACTAATGCAATATTTCAACTGTCCAGTTGGCATATCGTATCTGTTGTAATCAAGTTATCAAATTGAAGTTTCGAAAGTGAATCCAAACATTGAGAAAAATTTACGAGGCTGAACGCTTGATTTGAGATCGCAAAACATGGTCGCCTGTCAAGGGCCCCTGAGGCACGCCGTGACCGTCTGCTCCGCGCAACGCCTTCGTCGTTGAGAATTGAGATATGAATCAGTCGCTCGTTGGGGATCGTCAAGCGAAGTTGTGCTCGTCCGACCTTCCCCCTTCCCTGCTCCGTCCATCTCGTCTGCTGATCGCCTGCCGTCCCATCTATAATACCGCGTTTAACTAATATATCCACTCATTGCATTATAAAGTATATATCTATCTCTGATCCAGCTTTTAGATTCTCATTTCCGTGTTACACTACTACTTCAGAGGCATCATGGTCAGGTATGGTACTGATATTGCAAATATTTGCGTGAAACGTGTGCGATAAATGAATTGACGAAATGAAACCAATTGCAAATCGTTAATGTCTCTTGGAATTATATTGCGCTTATTTGAAATGTTCGATTTTATGTAACTCGCTCACACCGGATTGCTAAAAATTTTGGCCATGGGAAGGCTTGCATTGCTAAATCCAAATGAGTAAGATTCAAAGTTAAGCTTTGATTTTTTCCCGATGATTCGTGGAAACCTTTTCGTCTCCCAGCAATAAATTCTAAGGGTAGCTCCTCCGATATCACAGGAATGAAAATAGTCATTACCCATGACAATTTTCGGCTTTTTTTATAAGCGACTTTTTTCTTCAGCTAAGTGAGTATAATCAAGTCAGTGTTTTCTCTTCGTATGATTTCTATAGATGATGTTTAGGTAAAAACTTTTTCGTGGACTGCGCGAAGATGAGTTACCTCGTCTCATTTGTTTTTCGATGGACTTTTCTGGAATTTCGAGCTCTAATATTTTCCGACGAAAAATTAATTTCTCCTACAACCGGCATTTTAAATTCGTTCTTAAAAGGTTAACACAGCTCTTCCGGATATTAATCTGTTAAAGTTGCATGTATATCAGAAACTCATGTTCATGAAAAGTTAACGAACAATTTATTCAATCAATTTTATTTATTTATTTGCCTAAAGACGAATAAACATTGAATCGAAACATTGGTTCATATTTATGAAACTAGACTGCTTAGAGTTCAACGTATTTTAAAGGTCCGTCTGACATGTGCTGAGATCAAAATTCACCCAGAGTGTGGTAATCACTAATTCATCATTAGGAAGGTTAGAGCGTTCACGTGAAGACAGGCTGGGGTGTGGTAGTGTTGCTGTCTGCACGAGCGGTGCGCCGGCAGCGTGACCGCCGGCTCTGCTCGCCGCGTTTCCGGCATCGCGCAGCCGTAGCGATCTTGTTTCCTTCTCCAAGTTTAGTCCAGCTGCTTCTTCGTTGCTTTTTCGTTACCTGCTGATGTCGTTCTTTTGTCTGTAGACCAGTAACCCCGTCTTTATTGCCTTTCATTTGCTTGTCTGTTGTTTTATATGCTCCGATTATTACATTTGATTCAGATGTCATTTCATGCACCTTTTTCCAGTACACGACTCATTTATGCTCTTATTATTAGTCTTTGACTTTGCCTGTGTTCATTTTGAATTTCATGTTTAGGTCCTAGGTTTAGAAATGCACTCGCTATGACGATACTAATATTTCTGCGGTTTGTTCTTATTTCTCTAGTGTATCACCATTCACCAGCATTCAATCACTGCATTAGCTTTTTGTCATCACACAAGCAAATTTTCCCATAAGTATTTTTGTTTTCTAATAATCGACCTACTATAGACTTGATCTCCAGTAAGTCGTATAAGACGTAAGAATGGGTGAAAGAAAACCGTTCATTCCATCCATATTATTTTTTTTTCATACGTCATATAATTCAGGAATCTATTTCACGTGCAGCCCCCATAGCAGGTTTGCTAATACCGCCTGAATTTTTTGACTGAATAAGGTGATAATCATCAGCAGATGTCGCCGTGGAGTTTTTGCAACTTCAGTTTTAATAATGTTGTTGTTATTGTACCGCGGCGAATTTATGAGAATTTATTGTAGATTTATTACAGCTTAAGCCATATTCAAACGGGTTCTTTCTCAACTGAGACGCGTACGTTCACAAATAGTTCAGAAGTCGTCGTGTTTGTTTTACTTGGTTGCTCCAAGCTAACATGCCCAATTCCTGCTGAAACTTCCCAGGTGCGACCAGCGTTTTCTCTCTGCCTAACCGGCCGGATAATATTACTCTAGGCTTAGCATGGTAGCTTTCTACCAGTCGGTTTATCTTGGCCGCTGCAGTAAGAGTATTTTATATTCTTATTTCTTGCCTAGCTCTCTGATCTTGCTCTGGCGTCGAACGTGCTAGTGAAAATGGTCGAGTTAGATTACTGTTTAGTGGACTCCATAATGCACAATTGACTTTCGCTGCGCGATTGCAACTTTTTGTTAAGATGTCCAGCACACCGTCAATCGACTATTCGAATTTACTTGTTTGCTGATAGGTTTAGTGCCTTTCTATTGCGTTTATTCGGTCTCTCTATCTCTCAACGTTGTTCATAGTAGTTGGATCACAAGATACTTGATGTTGTCAACTGTATCAAATAGTTCGCTTCGTTATATGGGTCTCTCAAAATTGGAATTGTGTTCAATCTCTATTACATCACTTGTCTCAATTTCAGTGTGTTATTAATGTCAATATCGGCGTGTAGTAAATGCAACGCTTCGTTACAAGTAAATTTTAAAACGACTGAAAACATTTTTTTCGCACTATCATGATTAGTAAGATGATAGTCTACGCTTAAATCGGACGCTAATAAATAATTTATATTGATTTTTTAATTTAATAAGAGCAATAAACGATGAGCGAAAACATTTACTCCAGAAACTATGAACAGTGAAATTTAATAATATGCAGCACGGATTGTTACTCAACCTTCCAGCTTCATTATTACTTGGCGTTACGCGCTTGAGAATAATGTATTTTCTTGCGGACCAACTGTCCATAGCAGCAGCCTATATACCGTATCCGTTTTGTTAGTATTTTTTTCTGATGTCGCTTTCTATGGTAGTAGCGCGAGAATAGCTGCGTGCTTTGAATATGTTTACCGACGAGGAATGCAGGAGCGACAGGAGCAAGCTCCCGTGCCCTCACCTGGGCAAGCGAGGTATGTAGCCTTGCACGTCTGATCCTGAATACCACTAGCGCTACGGCGGGCTATGCTCGCTAGATGATTTTGACCTGTTCTTGATCCTGAAATTGCGGTACTCGTTTTACATTAGTGTCTTCCTGTTCTAGTGAAGGCTTTAACCTTAACTGTGGCTGCTCCGGCAGCCTCAACTCCCTTCCTTAGGCTGTAATTTTCTAACCGCGATGTCCTATGATTGCCATTTAAGAAAAAGCTTGCGGAACTTGTTGCAGGTGCCTACACCGCAACTTTGATAGCTTCCGTTGCTAGTTGACGATGAAACGTGTTTATTCATTTGATACTTCAAGGCGCTGTTTGCACCCATATCGTCTTTTTGGCGCGCCTGACTAAGTATTAGTACATGCGCAGCCACTGTTGAAATAAAATTCTGTTTCGATTCTCACTCGCTGCTTCTTCCCGAGTCGGTTCATGCTTGCTTGACTAGGTCGCCGCTATTCTTCCATCCGAATGACAAGGCGAAATTAGGAAACGCGTACCGTACTCTGCCGTTCGGGCCATGGAACCTAGAAGGTGGTATTGTTTTTCTTGCTGGTGTCGTATTTTTGTTAATTGAAGATCGCTTCAACGAACCCGGTGGATGTATAGTCTGCTGGAGCATCCGGTAGTCGTTGCTTTCTCTATCAACTTGGCCTTAGTGCCTCCGTACCCACGCAGGCGTCTCTTTTTACGTCAAGCTCTGGGTATTGTAAAAATATTGAGCTTAGACTGGTTGCTTATTTAATGGAGTTTTCTAAACTTCAATTTGTTACATTATTTAACCGAGAAAACAAATTCTTTCTCTTCAGCTGACCTGGAAACGTAGGGCTTTGTCAATAAATAGGTAGTTTTTTATCTTTTCTTATAATTATTATTATTCTCCGAATAATCGTGGTCTATCGTGGCGTCTGGTTCAAACAAACTACGAGGGCATGTCACACATAAGATTAATAGCAAGCGAAAAGTAAAGAGACACAAGGAAGGATGGGAACGGATAAATAACAAAGCACTAGATTCATAGGCTCTACGAAATCTTTGGCACAATACTTGTAACATTTGAGTGTAAGCTGTTGCGAGGGTCATAGGGTGCAAACAAACTTAGTTCCGTCGCAATGCTTTCAAGCGTCTCGCGCCTCAGTATTTGAGACGTGAATTCGATTTGATTTTTAAAATACTTCATTTTAAGAATAGCGCCTTTTCCAATTACTTGAATCAGGCAGGCTAACTTTGATATATAGCCATGTTTGATGTGTATAGGTTATGAGAGCGACAACGCAAATGCACGCTCGAGAGATATCAATAATACGCTTGCAATTTCCTACAGAAAATTCTCCATTTTAGATTCTCTGCTGCTCTATTGCTCATCTGTAGAACCGCCTGATGTTTTTCGTTCCGGTCGTTGATCCTATACTGTAGTCTTTATTTCATTTTTGTTCTTTGAAACACCCGTCTATTTTTACTTGTCATTATTTAGTGGGAAAATCTTTTCAGTAATCGAGCATTGATTCCTAGTTTTATTATTTCTATTTGAAAATTAGAGCTTTCCTGTGGCCGCGCAACAAAATGTTGTTCAGCCACGTTTAACGAAAAGATTCTTTATGTTCGAACCTCTCACTGTTAGTTCTATTCACTCAGACTGTTGTTCTGCAGGCGGCTCTGTAGGTACAACGGTCGAAGCTCCGTTCCTTCACTCTCAAAATACGGTACACCGCGTCCGTGAGGCGTCCAATCAGGCAACTCGAGTGAAATTGTCTTCTATTCGTCGGGCTGCAACATTTTGTTCTGTGTAATTTTACTCGTTTAACACTCGGATCTACTTTATAATTTTTAAAATAATTTCTGTGGACGAAATTTTCTACCAGAGATCTACCATGAGGTCCTGTTAAGGGTTGTGCTGATATTGTGATATTTAACGGCTGTGGTCTATGGAACTGCTTTACGTGTGGGAAGATCGCGTTGAATTTTTTACTGCGATTAAAACCACAGTTCTGCAGATAATCGTTGACGACCGGAGATATTCTATTTTTTTACCATTACGCAAAGACGCGTTCGTAAGTAAACTCAAATTTATATTCGTATGTTATGAAAAAATTTCGGTTTTGACGTTGCGTATCAAAAAGTGCGTGGGAGATCCTGTTTCACAGCGTGCTGTCCCTTCGAGGCCTCACAAGCGTTGCGTTGCTGCTCTGTCTGCCTAAGGCCCTAAATAGTCCAGCGTCGGGTGGAGTGCGATCGGGCCACAATGGTAGCATTGTAATTCATTTATACTCGACGAAGCTTCTGTTTGATATCCCTCTATGCTAAGTGCAACGCTCCACTTACTATCCATTATTTCCACATTAGATTTTTATTATGTTTTATCCTGTGCAAGTTGGTTAACGAACTAAGACTTCTTGACCTTTTTAAAGTATGCTTCTCTTTCATCATAATATTACATTTGATGAATAGAATAACCGTGGATTCTTCACTTTTATTAAAGATTCTTCTATGGTTGTTAGCATAGTTGCATTGTGTACCCTCCATTGCGTGGCTCGGAGGAAAGCAGAGACGGTCAACTGGTGACTAATGCATTAGTGCTTCCTTGGCACCTTAAGCTTTTATCCTTGAACTTAGCATTAGCCATGCTAGCTAAATCGGGGATGCAGCATTTCGCGGTGTGCCTGTCGCTTCCTCGTTCTGAAATTATGCAAAAATTTAATGAAGGCATAAAAATGCACTCGTGACAGGCGCTCCCACTTACAACGAGGTATGACTCTTTTGGAATTTAAGTGCCTTTAGGCAATAGTCTTTCGTTTTAGTCTGCAATTTCGTAGTTCATACTGAAACATTTATACTTATAACCATAAGATCTTGCTACTTATAATATGTTCTGCACTGGTCTAGCGAAGCTTCCATGTTTTATGGTGGTGACCAAAATTCTTCCGCACATCTGCTTCAAGCTTCATTTTGATGAAGACATTCATCGAATCTTATACATGTATATATTTTTCTTTGTAGCAATCGTTTTAGAGTTCTTTGCAGTAAAAACGACACTGGAAAAAATACTAGACTTTTCATTATTGACCAATGGAACACATGGTGCAACGGCTATCACTTTCCCTGTGGGCGCCATCATACCTTTGTGTAGAGCCCACAACCAAGGTCGCCTGAGCGATCGCCGGTCCACTCTTGGTCGGTTTCTCTCGTGGCTGCTCCAGGGGATTTTTCTCGCGCTCAGAGGTCAAGACGACGGCAAGTCGGGCTAGTTACCTTTCTATTCACAACCCGAAAGTTGAAACTTTTACCATCAAAATTTTATTCTTCGCATGTTCATTTTACTATATTTTTCAGTTGATACTCAGTTACTCCAAACGGCAATGAATTATCAACCTGCACAATTTTCTGTGGGAAAAGGAGGGAATCAGCACGAAATTTTTTTAGAACATTTTATAATATTCATTCCGTTGTTTGTTGGTGATTGATGTCTTATAGAACTTCTTTTGAGGTGTAAGATTAATATTCACGCCTCTCTTGCTTTGCCTTCCTGTAAGGATAGAAAGTTTGGGCAAGTCACCTTGCTTTGGGTGTCGTCTTTTCTGCGGTGTTTACGTTGAATGGCAAGACCCGCCCGTGTCTTGAGGCTTGGCTGATGATGGTATCGCTTATATGATAGGTCCTTCCAGGTTTGTTTACTCGACTCCATTAATTTTGCTCATATCTTCATGGCACGCATGACACAAGTTGTCCTCAAAGATGGATGTGATATCGGGCTACGGTTTTTAAGGGCTTGCATGTCTGCACGACGGCCTCAAGTTTGTCATAGTTGTTTGCATGAAGATAGTTTCTCTAGTGTATATATACCAAATTTGTTCTTCAAAATTTTTGGTAATTATAGGCAAAGAATAATGGTTTGGTGTTTTTAGAAAAATTGTAATATTTATTCACGTTTATTTAGCTTGTATTGCTCATCGATATACTGTCCAGAAATTGTTAGACATTCTGGTGCACACACAGTTTGCATCCGTGTTCATGGAAGGTTATTTAGGCCACTTAATCTGCCCGCCATCAATAATGAATGGCGATACTGCAAGTGTGGCCCAATCTTGTCGTATCTGATGACCTGGAAGTTCACCTGCAATGCATCGATTGCATCGCGTGAGTGACCGCACTCTTGTCAGCGGCCGACGTCTTCGTGCGTTGCTCAACGAGCGTCTGCATTCATGTCAATGTTTTTTTTTTCATTAAACATACGCAATATTCATATTGAGGATTATTTGGCCTCATAGTTTAGAGATGTTGTACAATGTAGTAATTTTTAATATCTTAGCCGGGGTTTGAATTGAGGGGTGCCCGTTTCGTCCATTCGAAATTGCGGAAGTTTAATTAATTACAAGAGACGCAGAAAATATCGATTTAAGCGACAACGTTTTTATGACTGAAATTCTTATTGCATAAAGCATTCTCTTGGGTGACTTCGAAGTACCGTCAATTTACCATTAAAATAGTTCATTAAATAATTACCATGAAGCACTTGAATGAAACACGTTCCTATTATGCGTTTTGGACGTTCAAGACGTATTTCATTTTCGTTCGTTGCGAGTGAAAATCATTCTGAGCGATGCAATGCTAGTCCCATTGGCCTAAATTAACGCTATTCGTTGAGTCGGGCGTGCTATAGTTTACAGGATATATTAACGTCAACTTTTGGGGAACGCTCAATTGCAGAGTAACTCATCCTCCCGGTGGAAAGCCTCACCTCGAGTGTGATGCTGCACCGAATCCTAAAACTGTCAGGTAAGTGATGTGACTGACTACGATGAGCCCTTCGTTTCTGAGTAAAATTTAAGTATTTTAATTTTGGCAATCCCTACTGAAATGACGGCAGGGAATACTAAATTTAATATACTATTTTTGGAATGTCGTTATAGGCTAAAACAAATAATCAGATTAATTTGAGAAAGACTGTTTACTCGCGTTTTCGCTGCTCTTTGCTGCTACATAAATAAACTTGTTTCCAGGTCTAAATGTTCCAAACGCTAATAACGCTCTCACACGATTGCATGTTTCGGACGTTTCTTTTCCACGTTAAATCTATTTCTACGATATCATGCATGCCCCTTGAATGATGCAAAAGCGTTTCCCTGTTCTATTCTTAAAGTTTTGAAGTAAAGTTTCGCTATCCATTGGAGTCGAGCAACAAGTGTGAACCCCTTGATCACACATCTCGTAACGTGTGTTCATGGTAACACTTAGCTGCTGAAGTCATTATGTGTCATTATGACTTAGCTGTGTGTCATTATGTCCTATAATAAGTTCTCATCAAAGTAGAGATTCGTTCTTCAAATAATAATCTGGTGACAGGACTCACTTTTGTGCACACCGGTTATTTCATACTGATATCTCATGATCTTGCCGTCCTACAACTTGTTTCAGGATCATTATGTAAAAACGTTTCAGTACCGCTGACCCCAATGACTAAATGTAGGCTATCCTTGCTAGTTCCATGAAGCACCTGATGCCAACGCCACAGCTTTGAAGGTCGGCAGCATGCGTATTGATCTAGTCGGTCATGAACAACGGCGAGCTCTCTGTGACCACCTTCGCTCCCGCCGCGCCGCCACCTTCATGGCCTCATTAGTGCATGTTTTCGTTGACGAGTGGATACACTCGTGTGAATCTATCACATACAGATATTTAATTATTTCCAACCAGAAAGAATTAGCATTCTGAAGGTTCATGGATTTCTTTACCATCTTGTACTTGAGTATAATCATATTTTCATGTACTCATTGTGTTATTTTAAAATTTGTTGAACTGAGCAGAAAAATTAGTAAACGTTTACCTGAAATTAATACATGTGAACTTAAATATAGCTACCGTTTGCGAATGCTTTCTTTTTCCTCGTGAATTTGCTCGATTGGCTCCAGTTCCTGGCGGATTTATAAACATTATTCTGGTTTCTACTTATTAATAGACAGAGGCTGGCTGTTCATTCTAATCTCGTTTGTAAATTTAGGATGCCCGTGTTCTTAAGAGCTAGATACTACTGCCGCCACTGAAGTAGGAAGGGAAAAGTGTTGATTCATACCATCTGCAATTTGATAAAATTACTTGTCTGCGTTCCTCCTTCTTTCAATTGCTGAGGTTCTCGTAATCCTCTCCGGGGTGCGTTGCCCCGGAGTCGAACGTCTCGAGCCTAGAAGTGTATTTTTAGCCGAGAACGCCCGGCAACAGCACTAGTGAGGTCTTCTCCATTCAACAGTGACGAAAAATGTTCACTAGTATTCCTTTTCACATTTTATATCTTTATCTTTTCAGGAGCACTTCGCCACATCCTACCTCGTAAAATGCAGTCCATCTGCATGAAGTCTAATATACAGATTGTCTCTCCGCATATTATTAATCTGTTGTCTTTGATTGAATAAATAATGCATTGTGATCGTACAATAATTTCTCGGTCTTCTTAATAACTTCTAAGATGTGATTCTTCTAAATTATCGCTTTAAAGTAACATATAAATCTATAACCTAGTGACCTGCTCCTAAACTCCCGTTTCTTGTAACAGGGTGCTGAAGCCTCCTGGCGGTGGCTCCTCCATCAGCTTTGGCGATGACGACGTTCCTCCGCCTACTAAATCTCGAGGTGTCGCCGCCGCCGCTGCTGCTGAAGCCGTTCCCGAAGAGTCTACTTCTGCAGCAGGTGCTGATGATGCAGAGAGTCCTGCTGCGGAGTCTCCTGGTGTGGGAGAAAGCAGTCCTACAGAGTCTGAGGCACCTGCAACTGTTGAGCCTACCACTCCTTCCTCATCAGCTGACAGTAATGGTACGGCCAGCGAGTCGATTTCAAAGTCGAATGTAGATGATTCTAAGCCTAATGGCACTCGTGATGCGAGCACAAATGGTGCTGCGGATGCGACGAAAGAGTCGGTTGGTACTGAGGAGGGTTCTGCTAAAACAAATGGTATCTCTTCTGATCATAAAACGTCTAACGGCACTCATTCTCCCGAGAACGGGTTGATGGAGAGTAAGTCGAACGGAATTTCCGCAGAGGCCAACGGTAAGTGTAATGACTCTCAGGCTCACACCAACGGCACCAAGGAAACTTCAAACGTTGCTGAATCTGCTCCCAAAACACCCGTTTCGCCCAGCCCCGTCAACGCCGACACTAAAGGGAGACTCTTCGGCACTGAAAATTCAGACAGCAAGCCTCACGTTGCTCGCTCGACTCCTTCCAATCATCACATGAGAAGCAGCATTTTCCCTTCGTTTGATGAGTCATACTCAACTACCAACGGCAGTAAGCGCCTTCATCTTTTGGTGCATGACGTATCACTAACAGTGGATTTCAGATGACCATAGGTTGATTATCGGTACTTCAATAGTTCTTCTGAAAAAAGCTATACGTTTACTCTGACCGACATTTCCGGGCATTCGGGTTCTACTCTTGAGGGCCCCATACGCCTGTGAGTCTGACTCGCGAGGTGTATAGATTTATTCCAGTCGTTATTGCGTATTAGTTATGTTATGATAATTATTCACAAAACGGTTGTTATTATTTTAACTCGTAGAGCACTATGTAAAATATTATTATACTCTCACATTGTAATTGCACTTCACTATCTAGATGAAAAATCGATGTTTTTTTTTTTTTGGCACCAGCCTAGGATCATCTCTCACTATATGCCATGTAAAAAGTTGGTATTAGCTACAGTGCTACACCAAGTATTTATTTCGTCCGTGAAGCCATTATCTAACTGTTCTCTTCATTCATTACAAAATCTGACCGAGGAAATAAAGGGATTTACGGCCACGTGTCATTTTCGTCTGTTTGAAATTTTTTTGTCTAATTTTCCATCATACCATAAATGTCGAGTAAAGTGGAATTATATATTTAATCAATGCTACAGTCCGGAATTGAAAGCGCCTTGGGACGCTAGTTTGATTAACAACTGCTTGAGCTGAAGGCCTCGATCCGCAGCACAAACGTCCGCTTGCCTTCGTATATAAGCGTATTGGTGAAGACGCTTATATATACATTCATGTAGGCCCTTGAATGTCAGAGTAACGCTTGGACTAATTAAAGAAACTTTATTAAGCTGAAAGTTTGGTTTGTTTTTACGAACTTCTCACTTTCTCTGAAAATACATGATTTTGATTTTAGATAATTTCTCCCCTACGAATGATCGTTCTAACACACGATTTATTAATTGCACCATATTGGTGATAATACTTATAATTTTATTCTTCAGCTTTTCTGTTAATATTCTATTGATGGACCTTTGGTTTCTTCTGTTTTGTTGAATCCGTGCTACCTTGCTCTTATGCAAATCATTGCACTGTATCAGTGTACTAAAATCACTCACTGGTTTTATTGACTTTTTTTAATATGACGAGTTATAATGTGACTGATTGCAAACATTCATGTCACGCAATGTTTGATTACAAATAACCTTATAAAATATCGACATTAGCTTTATGAGCTTTATTTAATGATCTGCTTTATCTGTATTTTTATCTATATTAATTTAATTCATACATTGCATTTATTTCTGATTTGCAAAATTATCTTTGTTGTAAATTATTATTGTTTAGATTATTTATATTAAAATTGCAATTCTGATATGTTGTTATAGCACATAACTGAATTTATTTCATGAAAATTTTCTATGTTTACCCGGATTATCGACGAGCTTCATGAATTTTTGTTCTTAAGGTTTTTGAGTATATCGTTTATTAATTAATAACCTCCTGCAGACTCGACCCCCGCCGAGAGCAGCAAACCTGCCCCTGAAGTTCATCGCCAGCAAGCACCGATCAGAGTACGCCAGCCTCCTGGTGGCTTTTCCAGCCAGCTCTGGTAACTGCTGTACCCAGCCAGCTCTGGTTACTGCTGTAGCCAGCCAGCTCTGGTGACTGCTGTACCCAGCCAGCTCTGGTAACTGTTGTAGCCAGCCAGCTCTGGTGACTGCTGTAGCCATGCTTAACTGTTGGTCGCCGTGATCTAGGTTTAGAGAACACATCTGTACTTCTTTGGCATCTCGAACTTACTCAGTGTTCGTAGAAGGTGCGGTTGATCAGTGCTCACAACGAGGATGACTTGGTGTAACAAGTTCTTCTGCGCCGTGTGCCCTTTATTTTATCAAAAAATTCTGCTTGTTATGTTAGCAATTCTTTCCTTTTGATTAGAATAATTCTACGAATCTGGCCATGAAGCAGATAGATTTAGGTTTGAAAGCACAGTGTCTTATTATAGCAAGTGTATGGTAGATGCCAAAGCGGAAGTCAAGGGATCAATCAATACTCGTGTAAGTTGAAGTGTTCCAATATTAAAGCTCAAGGTTTTGTGAGTGAAAGATTCGTTTTAAGATGATTACTGTAGAAGTGTTAGGTGTAACATAAAGAAATGGAAACGCCGGGCTTCTGCATTAAATAACCTTGAAACATTTAATATTCTAATGCGCTCTTATTCTTGTGAAATGTGAATAGTAGCAAGTATTCTAACAGTATGTACCTATTTCATATCACAGCAGGATCATGCTTATCAATCTGGAATTCTGCTAACGGACCGTTTCCATACTTCAGCTCAGTTTATTATATTGATCTCGAGACATTTAAAGCTGTATGTCTAAACATTTTAACTAGAAAAAATTAAAAATTATTCCTGAGAATTATTTGTGTTCTGCTACTGCTGTAGCGGAGGAGGAATCTATTTCCGATTTTAATAGTAACGCTTGTTACATTTTCCGTTTGTTATGCTGCTATGTTTACAGGAGTTGACCTCAGTTAAATTGTAATCCGTTTTTTAAATATTAATTCTTGATTGTAAATCCTCATTCATAGATTCACAGTAAGTTTTTCGAACGTTCATTTACTAACTCGCACCGCGAGTCAAGCTCATTTTCATGCTAGTGTGATCAATTATATTCAATTCGCAAGGCCATTATTGTACGTGTTCGTATGAATAGGACCCAGCAGTATTTACGCAGTTCCATTTTAACACTCACAGCCATCACTATCTCTCAAATATAACTATTAACCAGTTTCATCACAATAAAATCGACTTAACTTATTTTTCACGTTTGATTTCCTGAGGATATACGAAGAATGAACAATGATGAAAATACGCTTTTATTTTACTGAAGTTGCTGAACATGATTAATATATTAATTTTAACCATCGACTGAAGTTACGTAATGGAGGGATGCTGTGTGATGAGAACCTTAGGACATGTCAGAGCATGACGAGTAGAAAGGAGCTACAGATCTCGACTACTAGAAAAATTCTCACAAGCAATCTTCAACCACAACTTAAAGTAATTTGCAAATCATCGTTTGTCACAACTTTACACGCAATTTTACTGCCAATACTTTATCCCGATTTGCAAAGTTGATGTAAGATTGTCAGGTTTCGATCGTAGGTAGAATTTCATATTAAATTATAGTAAAAAAGGACCTTAGTTTTACCCGAATATAGTTTGCAATCCATGGCATTTCGATAACATTCGCTACAAAAACTATTATTGCTCTAAGCCCCTTTGATCATTGTGCAAATCCCAATTAGTATTTTCTAATCCTCTCGAAAAAATAGTTCATCGTTATATCTGCTGGTAAGCCACACCTTGAAACTAATACGGTCTTGCCTACATGAGAAATGTAGGCATGAAGTCTCGATTGCAAATTTTAAAAGCCCATGTCGAAGTCCCCACCGCCCATGTCGAAGTCATCACCACCTCCCATGTAGTCATCACCTTCCATGAAGTCGCCTCCTCCTCCCATATCGTAGCCGTATCCTCCCGTCATATCATAACCTCCTCCGTAATCATCAGTGTACTGTAACCCCATGTCCGGCTCGCCTCCTCCGCCATAACTGCTCTCAAAGTTGTAGTCATTCCCGGGTTGTAGACTTTGTTCCAAGGGAGTTAGGCCAGACTCCAAGCCTCCTTCGTCTCCTTCTAGCGCGCCAGAAATCAGTCCATCGTCCACACCCCCAGTTTCGGCCCCTGGCTCTTGCGCTCCTCCATTACTGGGATTGAAAATTTCAGCATCTCCTGTGTCATCGGCCACCTGTGTTTCAGTCCCGCCACCTCCTCCAGGATTACTTGCATTTTGACCATTATCTGCGTCTCCATTATAATTCGTCGTATTGTAGTTATTTGTTATGTTGGTCTCCTGTAAAAGACAACTACCATTAAAACATGACATGCAGTGACACAGAATTATGACTTAACTAAAGGGCAATTTCGGGTAGGTAGAGAGAAACTAAGGATTAATTTAGGTCGATTAAAATGTCAATATGATGCACTTATTCATCAGCGATAGATTAAAAAAAAATTTGAAAACTTGTTAAAAGGATGAAGGACATTACGTTGATTAACGTTAATTTGGGCAAGACGTACATTTTTTAGGAACTTGTAGCACCTTTGTAGTTTAGTTATTAAATAAATTTGAAGTTTTACAGTTTGAGATTTCCATGCTAAATTTTATTGTAGAAATCTTGAAGAATTCTCTAATGTTGGCAATTATTCGAAAGAGTCTCAAAGAAAAGTTCGAAGTCGATGACCTTCGTAACGAGGTGCTGCACTGACGGAAATGAAAGAATTGAAGCTTTTCGTAAGGAAATTGTTTTCCCTTGAATGAACGTGAGGCATGCTTCTTTAAATTTCACCATGTCACTTTGGAAATAATTTGCTACGAAAAATGCGATTTTTGCAAGTAAAGCAACCAGTTATGATAAATTACATTTAATAGAAAATCTCCAGCTCGATCGGTACAGTGTTTTTTTTTAGTCGTGTTATTCACACTTCGGAAAAGTTATGAGAGTAAAACAAAATTTTGAGCGCCAAAAAAATTGAATAAAACTCGAAGAGTTTAATCAACTTCTCGCACGTTGAATCATCGTTCATAAAATTCTGCAATAAACCAAATACCTTTCGCAAATATATTTTGTATTCTACTCGTTTAGTTAACCGCGACTTGGCTAAACTACGATTTAACTAAATTAAAACTCATGATGGAATAACCTAACAAATCTGCTCATTATTGTCTCAATACTGGACTGGAGAGAAAAATATTGCGACTGCTATGAAATATTCACTTCTTCAGAGGCTCGAGCTCTCAAAAAGCTACTCACGGTCGTCGTAACGTTTCCTCCTCGGCCACCGAAACTTGGCATTGGGACTCCAAAGCCCATGCCCATCCCCCACCCCCCAAAGCCCAAGCCGAAACTTGGTACCCCCCAACCAAGCCCTGTTCCCATAACTGTTCCAAGCATCATTCCGGATGCAAAGTTTCCCATTCCACCTCCTCCTCGGTCGCGGTCAATTATTATTGTGTTTTGACCACCTCCTCCTCCATATGTTCCTCCGTAGGGTCCACCTCCATATGGTGCTCCTCCACCTCCGTAATTTGGCCCGCCGCCGTAGCCTCCTCCTCTCACGTTGCTTCCCACATGCTGACCTATGGTGGATGTGAAACGTTCATGTCAAGTAAAAGGTCGAGATTTTTTATAAATTTGTCACGATTGTGCATCATTTTTTTATTGTCACGCGGAATAAAAAAGTAAGAACATTGTTTCCAAAAAATTTGGTTCCATAATTGAAAGATTTTAGACCAAAGAAAAAATTTCAAGAGCCGCATAAATTACGGTATGATCTTACACAAAATACTATAAATATTTTCATGATGATTAAAAAATGTGGACGAATATTGCTCGAATAATAATGTCTCGTACCATTTGCTGGATATTCATTCGCTAATTTCATTTAATCTTTGTCTTTGTTGTAATTAATTTCCCTCCCCCCCTGGGATTCACTTGAACTTTAGTAAGAGCAAGTCTACAGTTACATCATAGAGGAAAATTTTAATACAATGAATGGATTGTCGCTAATGCGATTATAAACCTTTTAGCTGTCAAAATTTTTCGGTTATCGGACCATGATAATCAAATGGCGCAAAATTATATCTTTGGACTCTGCCTTGTCGATTGATGAAGTATAACCCATGTGATATATCGTCATTTGCATATATACCAAGGCAATGACATCAATTTCAATGGAAATAATACATCCAGATATTTGACACACAATTACGAACGATTGGGCTTTTTAATGCTCACTGTAGGGGGGCGGCGCCCCTCCTGGAGGTGGCGGGGCACGAGGCGCGGTGGGGGCGCTCGGGGCGGCCTGACCTCCGCCTGCTGCTGGGGCTGTGGGTAGGTTTGGTGGCGGCGGGAGCTGCAAAAATTATTCAGTAATCGGACAAGAGTAGATACTTGCTTCATAGGATATGAAGATTATGAACTAATGGAAACATATATGCCTATCAAACCAACAGAAAATAGTAGGGAAATGCGTTTGCGAATTGAAGTCCCGAATGCCAATGTTAGTTTCACGAAAGTTGTTCTTCGTGTCATCACGGCAGCGTATCTGTTAACACAAGTTGACCATTGAAATACAGCCAAAAATAAGCCGGAAATTGCTATTTATTGTTACGACTTCCATGTGATGGTATTGATTGTGAGAACTTTATACTCGTGAAAAAATACAGAGGTAAGATTAAAGATTCTTTTTAAAGTTTCTTTCCCTAGAAAATCAGATTACATGTGCTGCCCACACCTTCGTCTTAATTAATGGTAAAGCTCGTTCAGAAATAGTCTACGAACGTCTAAAGCCCCTTTCACACAGGGCAGTAGATACTGCGCGCGTCAAAAATGTCGCGGCAGTATTTACAGCGCAATCTTTCACACGAGGCGCTTTTTACTGCTGGGATCTATCAGTCTTGCAGTGCTTTATGCTTGATCAGTCCATCTCTATGTTTATGTAACAATATTTCTATATGGAAATATATCTCTATGTGAGAATAATGTATATACATCTTTATGGAAATACCTATATGTTTTATGGAAAATACATCTTTTATGAAATATATCTCTATCACTTTAAGGAAATATATATATTTATCAATGTATATCTTTATGTTTATGTAACAATATTTATGTACCGATATTTATGTAACAATATCAGTCTTTAATCTATCAGTCTTGTAGTGCTGTTTACTATGCACCTAAAATACGGCCCCACTGTCTGCTGGGATGTGGCGTCAAAAACCGCCCAGTGTGAAAGATTACATTGAATACCATTGCAAGCTAAACTGTCGTGGCAAATCTATCGCCGCAGTTTTAGCTTGACACACGCTGGCGTCAAATTCTACGCCGCAGTAAATGCATGTCGTGTGTGAACAGCAGTGCACATTTCGTATGTCCGCTAAGGTTCGGCGGTAAATACTGTCGGACGCTGGCAGTATTTACTGCCCTGTGTGAAAGGGGCTTAAGGCTCATTCAGAGGTCGGCTCCCAGACATTAGTTCTTTCGAGTATCGTGGTCGGAAGAATTCGAGTCATTCTAGGCAAGGACTGATAATGGCAGGTTTAATTGGATTTGTTCTGTACTCACAGTGTTGCTGATGGCAGTCATCCATTGGCTGCAATGAATTATTGAACAGATCAATTTTAAAATTTAAATTTGCATTTTATGACACAAAAGTACGGATGTTAACTTGTTTATAGTTATTTGGTCTTAATTTAATTTAAAGTGCAAATTTTTGCATGCAGTAATTTTATTAATATCATTCATTTTTCTTATTTAACTGTTATGCCTATTTGACCCCAGCTTTACGAAAATTATGTTCTAATCACATTTCTAAATTCTCTAAAGTAAAATTCGTACATTCTGGGTCTCATATACAATCATTAGTTGACCTAGATTGAACCGTTAACGATTTTCCCCCATATTGCTAAAAATATAGATAATATATATAGATTTCAAAACAACTATAGGACTAACTTGAGATCGTCATCGTTAGCTGCGAGGAACCAATGTGTTTCTTCTTTAGACTCGGTGCCGAAGACCATGAGCCAGTTAGGCTCAGCATTCTTCGGTAGCTCTGGCTTGCCAGGCACGTAACTGGCATACGGCCCTGCCGCTATCATTTCCGGGGCCTCCTGCAAGTCAGGAATGTCAAAAAATAATTGGTACAAATTGTTTTGAATATACATTGCATTTTGAAGAATATTTCAAAATGAGGTAAAATTAAATCGCATTAGGTCGTAGAAGTTCGAGGCTAGGAGGAAATCACGGGTCACGAAAGAGCGAATGAAGTAACTCCATGCCAGCGGCCGAATCTGTTAACATTCTTTAACACGGATCTTGACGCGTGGATGATCAGAAAATCCTCTTGCCGTTACCTAGATTCTTCGATTTCATTGATAATTATATTCGTATCAATATGATCACTACGCACTTCACTGTCATAACGTTCGACAAAAATCATGCACAACACAGCTAACCTTGAGTATAATTCCCCCCCTAAGTGTGCTCTCGTCGTGGCCGGAGTACCACTCGAGGCTGCTGTCTTCATGAAGCACAAGCCACTCCTGACGCCAGTTGCTGCCGATGAAGCGCTCTGAATGACAAATGAATTGAACTTAGCCCGTGTCAAGCTGGTTTCGAACATCTGGTCGTTCATGGCGCGTGGATCAACTCCAATCTTTGACAAGTGAATTATTTTCAGCTATGATATTTTAGACGCTTACAATGAGCTATTTTCATGGTGTATTTTGATTCCTGTTGTATATCGACACTCTCTAAGTAGTCTATTCTGCTGACAAGTAATGGAAATTAGATAAATTTTTATATGTTTACATTGAAAAATGAGAAATTCTACCAAATGCAATCACACTGAAAAAAATAAATTGCTTTCAATGCTTGGACGTTAGAAGGTCTAACGTTAAGGACCTAAAAAATAACGTGTGCTCAAGAAAAAATCAGCTATATCGCCAATTTGTTTCGAAGGCTTAACTTGGATAACATAAACATTCATTTAAGATACTCGAATATATCCATTTATAATCCAGGTTTAACACAATTTCTGCACCGATCACCGGATATCAATTCAGCCCAAATGTGTGCCAATATAACTTGTCGTATTCGGTAACAGGCACTAGTAATTTTGATCTCAAAACGTGTAACATATGATCAATAGCAACCGACAAACTGCACGTTGATGACAAACTTACTCTTGTACCGCGAAATGAATCCTTTCTTGACGGGTTTTGCCATGGCTGCGAATGAAAAATCATTATTATCATATGTATACGGTATGATGACTTCATCTCTGAACTGGCGCGATAATTTTAACACAAAATAATTTCTTGAATCGTCACTTCTTTTCAAGTTTAATTGACTTGACCTACTGGCTCGCATACTATCCGGGGTCGACAATTGATTATTGAAGCGGGTACGGCATGCTAGGGCGAAATCGCTGGAAAAAGTTGTCTAATTAAAGGACATCATTACCTTCATTTATCGATTATGCAATTTATTTCACTCTCTTCTCTAAAAATTATCATCAGATAATGTTAATCGTTTTTCGCGAAACATTTTGTGACGGTAATTAAAGAATTATATTAACTTTATCGGATACATTGTGGTCTAAATAAAAAAATGAACCTGAAATTCTGCAAGGCAATTTAATGTCCGCTTACAATTTAAAAGATGCAAAGTTTTCAAGTAAAATCGGCTTGGAGTAAACTATCGCAACACTCACATATGGTTTTGATTGAACCGCTGCTGCTGCACATGATTGGGTCGTAGTTGAATGGTACGCTTCAAATACCAGGTTCATTAAATAAAAATAACAGACTACACTGGCAGGTACAATGACAATGACTTAAAAATTAAATTTAAATGGGAAATAATAACAGCCTACCTACAAGAGAACCTAAACTTTAATACAAACGTGATTTCCGTGTTGCGTAGCTAGAACGTGGTTAATTAACTAACATAATATTGTGATAAAGTCAAAGGTTGCTCGATTCTTCGTGATTAAGCAATCACAGCACTCAGAATTCACGTTTAAATTTCATTTATGAGTGTAATCGGAGAAACGATATCTGTTTACTTATGGTTTCGTGACCGGCCCCGAATGAGCTGCGCACTGTTGGCCGCCGCGTCGTAGAATGCAAGCTTTCGTACTCGAAGAGTCAGACAACGAGGAGGTCCATCGATAAACATTGTGTGTTCCATTGCGCTTCAGCGGCTTCTACCTGGTTGATCGAATAAATACATTGGAATAATGACGCTAATTAATACTATATTACCGCTTAAATGTTGTTTAAAACTTTCTATCGAACGAAATGACGATAGATCGGCGTTATTTTGGCACTTATTCTTCAATACTAGCAAGATTAGCCAGACTACTCTTTTTGGGTGCAGAGATACGGACAACGTTCAGGTTATGGCCCGCATTTAAAAAGCGTCTCCAAGGTAGCAACCCATCAACTGATCGCACAGCTCACTCAACTTTATCCAACTCGCTATAAAACATTTATCAGAGCTTTTGATATATAAATCTAAGTCAGTTTCGAAGTTGTATGCCATGAGTCTAAATACGACAATTTTCTAAAGCGCCCTCAACAATAACTGGACTGTTAAGGCGTCTAATTAGTGATATAAAAATTTCCACTCGTGTTAGTTTTGCATTTTATTGTTGAACGACATCAGATTCGCAATTTATTCGATATTTATTCGTTCGCAATTGAATCTAGCGAATATCGGATTCGCAATTCGCTAGAGACGAAAGAAAATGCTCCCAAGAAATAAGTGCAAAAGCGAAAAACTAAAGTTAATTTAAACCATAGGGACGTTATCCAAAATGGATGTTGCACTAGCATTTCTGAAACTCCAAAATCGAAAGTAAAGTATAGCTGAATTTGAAGACTAACCAAGCATCACCTAGTTTCGAAAACTATGGCGAGTGGGGATAAATTAAGTTTAATTCAAAGAATATTTTATTTATACGGATGAATGAAACTGTTGCGAAACTGGCGGTCGGAGAAGACAACGGGTTAAGCCCGTCGGTGGCGCTCACCCCGACCATCCGCCACCCGCGGTTCCGAAAAGGAGGATGAAGGGCAACTGTCAAATAATAAAATTATGAGAGACGCAAAACAACTTGAATTGTTAAGAATTTTGAACCCGGATATTAAACATAGTTGGTATCAGAAAATATTCCTAGGTAATGACATAGGTACATGGGATAATGGTAACCGTTTAATATCTTAGATGAGAAAATTTTGTTCGAGGTAATATTAGGTAATGAGCTCAGTGCTAGCAGGTAAGGTAAAGTTTTTAAGGTAAGGTAATAAAGAGCTAAAGCACTGGAGCTAGTTGGTAAAATGTTATGGTAGCAATTTGAATATTCAAGGTAATAGCTACTCGGTAAATGACATTTTAGGTAATAGTTCGAGCTAGGTAATATATTAGGTAATGGTAAGATTTAGGTAACTATAAGAATTAGTTAACATTAAGCATCAGGTAATATTAGGAATTAGGTAACATTAGGAATCAGGTAATAATACGAAATTGATAAGTCATTAGGGAATTTGGATTATGGTCATTCTTCAATTCCTCCGGTAAATGAAGGTTCTTAAGAGCAAGTGAAGGAGTTGATGCCTGATGGGACTCTAAGGGTAACAAGGTAGTGCGCGACAATCACCTGCCACCCACCTCAGACGTCCATAGGATCTTTCCCGTGTGTTGAACGTCGCCGCGTCAAACTTCCATCGCCGTTAGTCCGAACGGTAGACGTCAAAGACGGTAGCGCCGAAGGTAGCAACGTAGAAGGCACCCGTCATCCCGCCGCAAGTCACTCCCGAACTCCCTATCTCTTCATAGGGACTGGACGAGATGTTTGGTGGCTAACGAATAGAGCTTGAATATTCAAGGTGACTGCATGAAAGCACTTGTTGACCTCACCATCTGTTGCTAGAGACTGACTGTTTAGACGCAGACGCCCGCCGCCCACTACATTTAGAGCATGTAGCGGTAGCGGTAGCGGCCGCTACATTTAGAGCATGTAGCGGTAGCGGAAGCGCCCGCTACAATCTAGTGTATTCAAGCCGTCGTTCCTGGTGATGGCTGGCTTGGTTAAGTACATTAAAACCACCTAAGTTTTTTATAAGTTGAAAATAAACCACTTAACTACCAGTCAAGCCGTCGTTCCTGGTGATGGCTGGCTTGGTTACGTCGATAACGACGTCGGGTCGCACTTGCGACGTCGCGTGCAGGATGCTCGTGTAATCGTACGGCAACGTGTCGTTCTCGAACCCGTCGTCCGGACTGAAAAAGTTTATGATTGAGAATTATTCAACGTAAATTACACTGTTCACTTTTTCTGTTGCTAACTGTCATAAAGAAAATTATTGATTCGCTTGTGATTCGGGATGCAAATTGTTAATTTACCAAATTTAAACATTAATTTAAATTGGAAAGTTGTAGATATTAATGAGCAGCCATAGTAGCATGTTAGAGCAAGAAAGTTAGGTTCTGAGTGTATATCCATGCGGTTATTTGAATCCTGTTTTAGTATTGCTATAACATAGTGACATGACGCATACAGCCGCCACATGACGCATACAGCCGCCACATGACGCATACAGCCGCCACATGACGCATACCAACGCCACATGACGCATACCAACGCCACATGACGCATACCAACGCCTCATGACACATACCGCAGCCACATGACGCATACCACCGCCACATGACGCATACCGCCGCCACATGACGCATACCGCCGCCACATGACGCATACCAACGCCACATGACGCATACCAACGCCACAAGACGCATACCACCGCCACATGACGCATACCGTATACCGCCGCCACATGACGCATACCGCCGCCACATGGTTCACGGTTGACTTCCAACATGTCGGTCCACTCGAATTTCACCAGGTTTCACAGTTACCGACATTCACTCCACGCATCATGGTTCACACGGTCCACCCCAGCCCCCCCGGTTCACACGGTTCACCCCAGTCACTCCGGTTCACACGATTCACCCCAGTCACCCCAGTTCACACGGTCCACCCGTCACCTCGGTTCACACGGTTCACCCCAGCTACCACCCTTCACAAGGTTCACCTCAGCCACCCCGGTTCATTCGGTTCACCCCAGCCATCACGTTTCACACGGTTCACCCCAGCCACCCCGGTTCACACGGTTCACCCGTCACCTCTGTTCACACGGTTCACCCCAGCCACCACGGTTCACACGGTTCACCCCAGCCACCCCGGTTCAAATTCACCCCAGCCACCACGGTTCACACGGTTCACCCCGGTTTTTATTTTTGGGAGTACCGTATTGACCACGTGTTATTTTGATGATGTTCTTCTGTTAGATTAGTGACTAAATATGATTGTATAAATTTTTATGACTAGAATATGGAATCTCGTTACTGTGATATTATTTTGTACGACTAAGGCATGAGTAAGCATTTTTTTTTATTTCGTGATTGAAACAAGGAATCTCCTTTGCTGTGATATTATCTGTCTGTAGCGTTGCGTTGCAATCGTCTGCTAGGCGTCATGCGTCGTCTGCTAGCCCTGACACGTTTAGACTTATTTCTATAATATGTTTATCGTAAATTATTACTTGAACTATGATTTATTCGCTTTAATGTACAATTATTTTGTCGAAAGGCTTGATGTCGAAGGGATAATCGTAATGATTTGATATTGTCCGAGAATCAGTGCTGTCAACCTACGATACTATCGTTAAAGTAAAGACGGCTAGGCCGCCATCTTGCGTAAGGAAAGCTAGACATCTTAGAGGTAGATGTTCTATAAGAAGTCGATTATCACTTGTAGTCGTGTTGTCAAAAAGATTAAACTCTTTATTAACATGATTTTATTAGGTGATATTACTTCTCATTGTATTTGATAATGCTTTGTCAATGTTCATTTGTCTAGTCTATTGACAAACTGGTATCGACTCACGCGCTCGCGAGTTAATTATCCTAGAGTGTTATTCTATCTTATATCAACTTTCACTTACCATTATTTGACCAAAGGATTATATTATGATTCTATTTTATTGTGATACATTATATTATCTATCTTTTTCCATATAGATGTTTTTATCAGCTTATTTCTTGTACATTGTAAACGGGGTGTTGAGGTAAGCTTATTTTAGCTGAGTTACCCCTCGCGGGAAAGTTGTGTGTGCTCAGTGTTACTGGGTTGGGGTGCACGTGTTTCGACAAGAATTCAAGTAGCCTGATCTGTGGATATAAGAATAAACTATACCGTAGGTAACGAGTAAACTCTAAATGTGTAACTTTGACGTAGTAATTACGGTATAGGGGTGAGATCTTTGTTAGTTGCTGGTAGCGCTCTGGTACGGGTAGTTCCCGTGCCGAGCACTTCTCGTGTTGTGGGGCTATTAACCTCTGCACTCGAGCATATTTATCAGCGTTCTGGTACAGCTTCTGCGGTACCGTTCGCGCCTGTCGTGTCGTGGGAGTTATCACCTTCCACCCTCGAGAGTAATCGGAACTTTGCAGCGCATTAGAGCTAGAACCCCTAGTCTCTGCGGTCCGTTGTCGGCGTCTAGGTGCGGTTAGTTCGCGGATGATTTGCTGTCCGTTTTGTGATTCGTTGCGGTGCATTAGGGCTAGAACCCCTAGTCTCTGCGGCAGGTTGTTGGCATCTCGGTGCGACCAGTTCCCGTACCATTTGCTATCCATTTTGTTATTCTCTGCTGTGTATTAGGGCTCATACTGTGTGGTTTCTCGGCTGTTTGTACTATTGATGTGTCAAGCCTTTTTCCGTGAACTTTTGGACTGAGACGCATAATAAATTGTGCGCCTCGTATGAAGAACCCTGTAATTCGCCTGAAGATTACCAGTAAACTACGAAAAGTTCCTTGAGTTTATTCCTCCTCTCTCAAACGCGAGGGAATTCAGAGCCGGACCAAAGAGCGACTCTTTAGCCCTTGTGTTTAGGATCAGTACGCAAGTCTACACCAAGTCGGCACGCCACCCGTAAATATTTCAGCTTCGCGGCGGTGTTTCCGATTACACACGGTTCACACCAGCCACCTCGGTTCACACGGTTCACCTCAATCACACCGGTTCACACGGTTCACCTCAGCCACCCCGGTTCACACGGTTCACCCCAGTCACCCCAGTTCACCACAGTCACCCCGGTTCACACGGTTCCCTCAGCCACCCCGGTTCACACGGTTCACAACAGTCTCCCCGGTTCACACGGTTCACTCAGCCACCCCGGTTCATACGGTTCACCCCGGCCACGGCCACCCCGGTTCGCACGGTTCACCCCAGTCACCCTGGTTCACACGGTTCACCCCAGTCACCCCGGTTCACACGGTTCACCCCAGTCACCCCGGTTCACACGGTTCACCCCAGTCACCCCGGTTAACTCGGTTCACTCAGCCACCTCAGTTCACCCCAGTCACCCCGGTTCACACGGTTCACCCCAGTCACCCCGGTTCACAATGTTCACCCCAGTCACCCCGGTTCACACGGTTCACTCAGCCACCTCGGTTCACACGTTACACCCCAGTCACCCCGGTTCACACGGTTCACCCCAGTCACCCCGGTTCACACGGTTCACCCGTATACGGTGTACTAGGGCCAGTATTGAGGGCGGATGTTGGAAAAGTGAACCGTCACGTACACGTCGCGGTCTGGTCGGTTGTGCTCGTGTCCGAAACCTGGACAAAATACCGAGAAATAATTCGAGTAAAATAATTAATTTTTCAACTAATTCATTAATTAAGGGGGGCGTCTGGTAAAAAATAGAAAATTTTGGCTTTTCCTTTTTTTATGCTCATTTTAAAGCTGACATTCTGACCTATCCAACAATATCTACAGTACCCCCTTTTTTAGACGTTTTCTAAGAATTTCACGTTTTCTTTAATTTTTTACGAAAAATTGACAAGAACAAAACAATCCCATTCTTCTGTTCTACACATGTGTACCAAGTTTTATAGATATCCGTCTGTAAATAACCGAGATAAAATTTTGGCCTGACATTCCCCTTAATCAATAAAGACTTCTAGGATGTAATATGAGAATAAATGGAACTTATTTGAAAAAGCTTTTCATCAAGAAAGACACCAGCAATTGATTAGTTAAGTAAACATAATAAATAAGGGAGTTGAAGCTGCTTAAATTAACATAACACAAAATTAACTTCAGGGGGTAAGTTTAAAATGAATTGAGTTATCATGATGCAAAGTGTTACTTTGGTATTATTTAATATAAGCATTTTTATTTATAAGCATATTCCATTGTATTTTTAAATATTAGAGGACAGACATTTTTAGAATCCTGTTATTTCTATTCTTTTACCAAGTCATTAGCGGCATCTAATTACCGAGTTGTCAGTAGAAACTGATTACCAAATATTATCAAATAAGTAATGGTACCTAATTATTATATCAGCAATAATAACTAATTAAAAAATTAATAATTATAACTAAATACTAAAATTAATAATGAAAACTAATTACTAAATTAGTAATGATAACTAATTACAAAATTAACAAATATAACTAATTACAAAATTAACAATGATAACTAATTACTAAATTAGTAATGGTAAACAATTAACAAGTAAATATTAACAACTAATTACCAAGTTACCAATAGTAACTAGTCAGCAAGTCGCTAATAGTAACTAGCTACGGACCGAGCGCATGGAGCAGCTCGTGCGCCACGGAGCCCGCGTTGCCGGCGCCCCTGGCGACGTAGAGCGCCTGGGCGCCCCCCTGCCGCCCCACGCTGGCGCCCCTGGCGACGTAGAGCGCCTGGGCGCCCCCCTGCCGCCNAATTGTACAAATGTTATTTTAATTGTACAAATGTTATTTTAATTGTACAAATGTTATTTTAATTGTACAAATGTTATTTTAATTGTACAAATGTTATTTTAATTGTACAAATGTTATTTTAATTGTACAAATGTTATTTTAATTGTACAAATGTTATTTTAATTGTACAAATGTTATTTTAATTGTACAAATGTTATTTTAATTGTACAAATGTTATTTTAATTGTACAAATGTTATTTTAATTGTACAAATGTTATTTTAATTGTACAAATGTTATTTTAATTGTACAAATGTTATTTTAATTGTACAAATGTGTTTTAATTGTACAAATGTAATATTATTCTCACTTCGTCCGACGGTAGCCACGCGTCCAGCACTACGCACCCGCCTTGGTTGCCATAGCAATGGCGTCAATTACGTACTCGTACACTGAGAAAAATATGCATCACTTATCCTTTTTTGTTGATCATAGCGGTGGCGTCAATTACGTACTCGTACACTGAGAAAAATATGCATCACTTATCCTTTTTTGTTCGCCAATGCCACTCAAGTCGCCACAGCACTTATGTCGTCGGCATTCAGTTGAGACGATGTAATTTATTAACAACACTGAAATACTACTTTCTAACGAGATTATTCTTATTAATATTGTTATTGTTATTATTACTATTATTTTGTAATCGATCATGATGGCTTACTCAAGTATCTTGATTAATTAAGATATAAAAAAGGACTATGAAGATATTATAATTACTATTCAATATAACTATTATTGATCAAGATTAAAACAGAAGAAGGGATTACAATACGAATATTTTAGATTGATAAACGAGGTGAATTTCTGTTAACAAAGCCCGAATTTCAGAAAAGTCATAAAAGAACAGTTCATGTACATGAAATTTTACAATATAAAAAATAAAATAGTTTAAATAATCTATGGAATAAATATTTCTAGTATTTAGCTTTAGGAACTACTGTTAGGCGAATATCTTTAAAGAATTAGTCGTGAATACCGCGTGCCTGAGAAACGTTGGCAGCGCAACCGTAATTTACTACATTATTGTTAAAGTTACCATAATGTAATTGTTAATATAAGGTAATTGTTACTATAATTTAATTGTACTATACTGTAATTGTTACAATAATGTAAATGTTACCATAATGTAATTGTTAATATAAGGTAATTGTTACTATAATTTAATTGCACTATACTGTAATTGTTACTATAATGTAAATGTTACCAAAATGTAATTGTAAATAGAAGGTAATTGTTGCGCGAATGTAATTGTTACCATAATGTAATTCAAAGTATTATGCTTGTTAAAAAAGTAATAAAAATATTACCTAAGTAGGAGGGCATCCGTCTCCCCGGCCACAGTCTGTGGTTGTCCGCTTTTGCGATACGCTTGAAAAAAAATATTCAAATAAAATTGGGTACAATTGCGAAAATTTCGGCCCATAAATGTTCTTCTATTTAATGTAAATTAAAATAATGCGTTGTGCTAACGTAATTTTGGTTGCGTATTCAGAGTCACTTACATAAATAAATGTATTCTACACTAAGATAAATAAATGAGGCTTTATTAAAATAACGATATAATTTTATCCCATATTGAGGTCATGCTGCCTCAGTTGGGCTCGACATAAGGGCGTTCCAGGGTAATGTGCAGAAAGTGTATCATAATTTGAACAATATTAAATTCATTGTTTTGCGTGTTGAGCGTGAATAGAAGTGTCGGCGTTGAAGACATAGGCCCATGGCCTGTTGCCGATTCTTGAACTTTTCGTGACTTGATTCACAAGGGATCCGGCCTTTGGNGTCATTTGAAATGTGGTAATTGAGTAGTGAGGGCTTTAATTTAGTAGTAGATTCCATTGATGGGAACATTTGTTATAACAAGTTTATTAAGATCCATGCATAAAATTTCATTTTCAAAAACTCGAGAACCATTTATTTCAAGGGGAGTGTGGAACGCTTCGGAATGTTAGGGAATTCAGGCACTTAAAGGCGTTCATTAGTCGAGAGATCTATCTAAAACTTCCACAGTTGAGAAAATCGAGTTAGTTGAATTGTAAAATTGAATAGAATTTTAAAATTGCAAATACGGATTTTTTTGAAAGGGGCTCTTACGTCTTCGATAAAGAGTGAGTACTTATGCATTAGTTGTACTTCGAGTATGAATTAAATATGCGTACGTATTCGTACAAATGGCGGTTATGCGAAGTAACGAGAAAATAAGAGCTGGACATGTAATGCCACTCACAGCATGTGGATTTGATGATACGTATGCGTACAAATGGCGATTATGCGAAGTAACGAGAAAATGAGTGCTGGACATGTAATCCCACTCACAGCATGTGGATTTGACGAGTCCCCGTTTGCAACGAAGATGTCGCCCTCGTCTCGATCTGGGCAAATGGTTCAAGTTAATTATGATAATAATTTTTTTTCACAGCCTGCGACGTGACGTGTTCCTGGCTGCTGCGCGGGCGAAAGCGCAGGGAATTTATAGAATGCTGTACCAAGCATATTCGGAACCGTCCCCTCTATTCTTTGAGGGGTCGAGTTTGGTATCCGCGACCGGCATACAGCAAGGCGATCATTTTGGCCCTGCTTTATTCTCTTTAGGAATTGACGAGGTGGTACGCCGGGTGAACACTGAGTTTAACGTTTGGTATTTGGATGATGGATCTTTAGGCGATAAACCAGAGACAGTTCTCCAGGCAGTGCAAAAACTCGTTGAAGACTTTAGAGCCGTAGGGCTGGAGGTAAACCAGGGGAAGTGTGAACTGATCATACTGAACCATTCGAGAGAGGAAGAGCTCGAGACTGAGGAGATGTTTCGGGGGGTGTTGCAAACACTAAGGCCCCTTTCACACAGGGCGTGAAATCCCGCCGGCGTGAAAAAAACCGCCGCGGGATTTCCCGCCAAACCTCAGCGGACATATAAAATGTGCACTGCTATTCACACACGACGGCTTTTCACGCGGCGTGAAATTTCACGCCTGACGACCGCGTGTGTCAAGCTAAAACTGCGGCGGGATTTCCCGCGACAGTTTAGCTTGCAATGGTATTCAATGTAATCTTTCACACGGGGCGGTTTTTCACGCCGCTACCTAGTGTGGTACAGACAGTGGGTCGGCGAGGCTGTTTGTGAGAGTTGAAGCCAGTTTTTCAATAGCAGGCACGGCGTCTCTCAACTGCATGCTGTTGTGGGTTATATTGCCTTGCACACAAGACAATAATTCATCAAAACTTTCGGCAGACATTCGGAAATAATTGAAGAATTTTACTTCATCTTCTCTTAATTTTCAGAATAGCGTGACAAATTCACCTTCTTGTGGCCTTAATTTTACTATATTGTGACCCCAGCACCTCATTTTATTTCTTTGTGTTTCTTTCTTTGCTGTCTTTTATGCACCAAATATAAAAGGAGAGCTTTCTTTTCTTTGCTATGAGCAGGCATTTATAGATATAGTTCACAAAAACTGAGGACCACTTTTACGGAGAACAGCGCTGCAAGTCTGATAGATTCCAGCGTGAAAAACCGCCTCGTGTGAATGATAGCGCGGGAAATCCCGCGGCGGTTTTATTCACGCCGGCGGGATTTCCCGCCCTGTGTGAAAGCGGCTAAAAGTTGTTCCCGCCCATAAGTCACTTTTACTGGGTGCCCCACTCCACGAGGAGGGCGTCTCCGCTGTTATCCGGGAGAAGCGGGAGGGCTTGGAGAGGATGGTGGAGCGTTTAAAATTAATTGATAGTCCTTAAGCATTTACGCTTTTAAAGAATTGTTTCGCTCTACCTAAACTCCAGTACGTCCTACGTGCGTCTCCTGCATATGCGCGGGTAGGTGATTTGGAGCGGTTCGATGAGGTGTTGGTTTCTGCCCTCTCGACCATCACCAATGTCAGCTTCGAGCGCGAATCTCTAGAACAAGCTGTGTTACCGGTCCGGCTGGGAGGTCTGGGTATCCGTATGTCAAAGGACATCGCGCTCCCTGCGTTCATATCGTCACTCCACTCCGTCCGTGGCCTAGTTGATGCTTTTTTACATAATGTACGACTGGCCGAGGACGACAGTTTGCAGATGGCGGTGGATGAATGGTGCAATAGGAACGCAGGTATTGCTTTGCCCGGGGACGCGATTTTGGGCCGGCAGAGGACTTTGGATGGGCCTGTGGCCGCGGCCTCTGCAGCGCGGCTTTTGAAAGCGGCGGACCAAATATCTAGGGCTCGTCTACTTGCGGCGGCGAAGAGAGAGAGTGGCTTGTGGCTTCACGCTATTCCTTCGGATGCTCTTGGAACACTTCCAGATCCCGACTTGTTCCGCGTCTCAATTGCTCTTCGAGTTGGCGCAAATGTATGCGAACCCCACACTTGTCGGTGCGGAAAGCGGATGGATGCACGAGGGCTGCATGGCCTTTCTTGTAAGTACAGCGCTGGGCGACATCCAAGACACTCGGCTCCGAACGATGTGATCAGGAAGGCTCTTCAGAGCGCTGGCGTTCCTTCATGCCTTGAACCCGTTGGAGTGGACAGAGGGGATGGTAAGAGACCAGATGGCTTAACGGTTTTCCCGTTTTCTAATGGGAGGTGTTTGTGCTGGGATGCAACCTGCGTCGACACTTTTGCTGAGTCGCACGTCAATAATTCGGCTATTTCTGCTGGGTTCGCGGCTCGGGCGGCGGAGGATAGCAAGAGACGTAAATACGCGGCGTTGGCAGCTCGGTATCGTTTCGAGCCAGTCGCATTAGAAACAACGGGCACATATGGTGAAACGACTGGTCCTTTAATATCAGAGATTGGCCGTCGCATTACGGAATTGTCCGGCGAACGTAGAGAAACTCTATGGTTGGAGCAAAGGTTGGGTTTGGCTGTGCAGAGAGGCAATGCAGCTAGCATCCTAACAGCAGGCAGAGAAAAGTTCGACGTGGGCCCGCTCCTCGCTCGCTTCACAGCTCAGTGACCCTCGGAGTCGGCGTAGGCCACCA